TATCCACCCAGAGAGCAAGGTCAGTTGGGCTCACCTGAACTCCTGGCCACAAATGGCTGTAACATCATGCTATCACTTTTTTAGCTCAACTCTCACACTCAACATTCACTTAATGTGAATGTGTTGGTCCAGCTTGTCTTGCTATTGTCAGTTTTTAAGTGTTCACTATAATCACTGTTAAATCTACAGTAATGTTCTTATAGTCAGCAACAACAAAGATAAACAAACTTAAAGGTAGATTTTAAGTATACACCCAAAGGATGATAACCTACGGATGCACATCTTTGGTCCTGGAGGGCCAGCGCAGCTTGGTTACCCTACTCAAACACACCCACTAAACCTGGCGAGTAGCAGATGCGTTGAATCAGATGGATTTGAGTTGGAGAATCACCAAATTGCCCTGGACATCGGTCCTCCAGGACCAGAGTTGTGCACCCCTGGCCTAGAAGGTAAGACCTATGCGTTGAGAGATGGTAAGTAAAGATACCATTGTATGGTACCATGGTAAGAGATGATAAGTAAACAAAAGGAAAGACACACCCAATATGCAATAGATGGCACTTAGTAGGTATTGCTGATGCACAAATTGTTCATGCTGCAGAAAGAAAGCAAACATTCTCGAATGCTACTCGTTTGCCTGGCTGTGCCATGCCGACCGTTCATAATGTGCACATTGAAATTGTCAGTGAGCAGCTTGGCATCGTAACTAGGAATGTTGTTCATAATGTCTTGCAGCAGGTCATAGAATGCGTCCTTCACTTCTTTGCCGGTAACTTTGGTAGGTGCCTGGATTTCGTTGATGGACATTTCTGTGCCTTGACTATGACCGTGCTGTAATGATGCAATTGTTCATTATTTCCATTCCAGCCAGGCAAAGGGTGCTTCTTTGTTTAGCACTAGGCCAACACCCTGGGCATGATGTTCCTCATGGCCAGAGTACAACACTGTTGTTCCATCTCTGGTTATCCTACCGTTTCCAGTTCATTGCATCTCACTGACACCCAATTACGAATTAGCTGTGTCAGTTTTGCGCATTGGTACAAGTTCTGCTTATTGCAAGTGCCTATTTTCATGACAGTTTTATGCTAAAAATACTAAAACGCATCAGGCTTTGGACACCTGTTTGGGTTTCTTTCAAAGCCATCATAAAGGAAGAGTCTGTATTTTCCTCACTAAAATATATCTGATAGGTTTGCCTTTGATGTTTCTGTTTTTTTATGGGGCTGACCCAGCACCCAACCCTCCTGCTTTTTCAAACAATCTGGGGACCGTCCTTGGCGAAGTTTTTTCATTTTCCAGTCAAGCACACACACTCTGTGACTGCAAAGCCACGCTGGTGCAGCATGTGCAGAGTGAGGCCTGGCATCATCTTGCTGAAATAACTATGGACTTGCTGAAATAACTATGGACCCAAGAAAAGACGTCATCTTGATGGCAGCTTACGTCTCTTTAAAATCCCGATGTATGTCTTTGCATCAATAATACCTTTAGACATATGGAACTCACCCATGCCTTGGGCATTAATGTGCCCCCATACCATTACAGATGTCGGCTGATAAAAGTTTGGATAGTTCCTTTTGTCTTTGGTGCAGACAACTCAACATCCATTTTTCCCAAAAACAAGCTGAAACTTGGACTCATCTGACCAAAGCACTGTCATGTGCAACTCCCAATCCTCTCCTGAATTCTGTCACTAACCCACACCTGTTCTCAATCTCCATTCATCAACTCCCTTGTACATACTCACATGCTCTTTCCATTCTTCGCGAAGCATTGTTAGTGTGTCACTGTAATCCTGAGCCTTTTCTCTGTAACTTTTTGACTTTGTGGTTTTTTGATCTTGTCTAGCCTTTTGACTCTGTTTGTTAGACTTTGTCTTGGATTTTTTGGTCTTGGATCTGTTATATGTAATTTAGGCCTCTGACCCTCTGCTCTGCCCCAACTCTGCTTTTGGACTGTGTTTTTGTACCATTGTCTGTCACAATAAATCCTGCTTATGGATTCTACCAACCGGCCTAGCCCTACATTGTTACAAGAACACATTTCCACTGTCTTTCAGACTATTGGAGATGAGCTTGGGCCCAGAGAACTCGGCAGTGTTTCTGCATAGAATTGATGTATGGCTTTCTCCTTGCACAATAGAGTTTCTGGTTGCATTTCTTGATGCAGCAGTGGACTGTGTTAAGTGTCAACTGTTTTCTGAAGAACGCTCGAGCCCATGTGGCTATATTTAACACAGTAGCAGGACGTTTTCTCATGCAGTGCTGTCTGAGAATATGAAGATCACACACATTCAACAGCGGTTTCTGGCCTTGCCCTACACAGACTGAGATTTCTCCAGATTCCCTGAATCTTTTCAGAATATTATGTACAGTAGATGGTGAAAGACCTATATTATTTGCAATCTTGCGCACTGTTTAGCGCATAGTGGTAAGCCACAACCCATCTTTGCTTGCAAGGACTGAACCTTTGGTGGATGCTTCTTTTGAACTCAATCATAATACCCTCATCTGTTACCAGTTTCAAATTGGTATAACTTGAATATTCTATAAACCCTTCACTCTTATTTTGCCCCATCCCAACTTTGTCTGAGTGTGTTTCAGGCATCAAATTGAAGTTTTGTTTCCGTTTACAAAATATAATAATATAATTAAGTTGGTCAGCCAAAACATTAAAATTGTATTTTTTTGTATTTTTGTTGGTTTACAAAACACAGATTCTTGTTTTTATGGCATTTTACAAAATATCCCAACTATTCTGGAAATGGGGTCTGCACATGCAATCCACATGTGACTTAAAAAAACACAATTTGAATTGACCTTGACTGATTAACAATTGGGGTAATGATGTTCTTGCAGTGTTATTATTATGAGTACATTTCTGTGTTTTTTGAGTGTACAATAAACTACACTGTCATTTAGCACAGGACAAAAGATACTAAACAGTTAACAGGGGACAATCTTTCGGGGGTTGCAGCCAGTTTCAATACCGTTTTTAACAAGCCCTCGTCAACTGTGCCTCACCATTTCCCTTCAGGGGAATCCCTGACGCCATCTTAAAGGCCTTTCCATTACTGTATTAGCTCAAGTGAAGTTTGTTAAATGAGCCTTCAGATGTGCACATATCTTGATTATTAGCCATAACAAAGAAAAACCTTAAAACACCTAATATTTCAGAACTATAACATCAGATTTGCTGTGTTAAAACTACTCCATCTGTTATACATGACTATTGATAAACCATCATTACTGTGAGCATGCTAGTTACCAAGCTAAAGGCTTACACAGCTAGCAGATGCGCTCCCAAGTGGTGAGTTGAAGTTTGTGAGGGACCATTAAATACAGTATTGAAACAGGACTTCAGTTTTCAACGGTAATAAGTAGTTGTAGGGGAAAATGGGGGAAATGTCCTTTACCGTAAAACTAAACCACATCTATGTTTGGGTTTAACATGTACAGGATGATGATGCGCAAACCTGTGCACAGTTATAGGAAATAAACTGGCACAGCAGACAGTTTTGTCTCCAAATTTTCATAAATAACAGGTCATGGCCCCTGAGTATTGCAGCTAATCATTCAAGTACCCTAAATATTTCCCTATACTACTGGGTAACAAAAGGTGGCTTCTCTCTTAGCCAGTTATTAAGAATACATTTCCTAGCTGGGAGTAACAATTTATCAAGCAGTTTATGGCATAAGGGGATAGTGAAACTGTTTTGGAGGGGAGGCCCAATAATAAAAAGCCTGGATCTCTTTTTAGTTTTATGTTGACTTGTACATTTCCAAAATCTTGATATGAGTTCACACTCCCAGAAGTAACGAAAGTACATCCCCAAGCATGTACGGCACGTTGTATAGAGAGGTGAAGTATTACGATCAATTTTATTCTGTATCACTGGTGTTATATGTAATCTGTATAATATCTTGTATTGTGTTTTCCTTTAACTGGTTACAGAGAAAATAATTTCTTACAGACTCTATGGCCTCTTGCCAATCATTATCTATATATAGGTTATCCAAGTGCCTCTCCCATTTACAAATTACACTATCACAAGTTTTGACACTGCAACCCTTGAGAAAGTATAAATTAATACAATTTTGATATAAAATGAGCTGCCCTCTTTGTGTTAATGAAAAATGTTCCACCTCACTATATAAGGTGGTGCCCGAAGATGACTTTAATTTTGCTGTAATGTAGTGCTAAATTTGCAAAAACCTATAATGATCTTGCTTTGAAATGTCAAATTTGCTGCAGCTCCTGGAACGGCATTACACTATTGTCTTGTAAAAGGTCTCCTATCACATGTATTCCCTTAGGATGCCATTCACAAAAACGCTTGGAAGTTACACCTGGGAAAACAATTATATTGTATTTACAACTTATAACAACTTATATTTAGATACTAAATCAAGCTCCTTTTATTTAGAAAAAAACACGAATGGTTTAATTTCCATGATATGGACCCTTTTGTAAGAGTTTCCGTTCTTGCTGTGGAGCTGTCTGCACAGTATTTGCTGCACTACCACCGCCCGCTAGAGGGTAGCAGCACAGACAGCTGCCCGTTCTGGAGGCGCTGTGAGCGGGAGGAGGAGGCGAAGAAGGCGGCCCTCTCTCCCTCGGCCGTCCGTGGTGGGGTTTTTGTATTTTTTGTGGTCGCTCCTCCGCTGGAGAATCCTGCTTGAACGGTGAGCAGGATCCACAACACGCCGAGAGAGGGAGAGAGAGAGAGGGAGAAAGAAAGAGAGACGCGAAAAGAAAGAAAAAAGGCAAAAAAGAAGCACCCTGCATTTGTGGAGGACCAGAACAACCACACCGAGGAGCGCACTCCGGCCAAGCGGGACTTGGAGCGCAGAGCCCCGGCGTGGCGGTGCCGCCAGCCCCGCGGGCAGAGCTGCTATTGTCTCCCCGGCTCTGCGGGGTCCTGGAGGTGGTGGGGGGGGGACGGGGTGGGTGGGTTTCCAGCAGGGGTAGGGGGCAGGGGGGCAAAGGGGGAAGAGGGATAGGGGGGTGGGTTTCTTTATTTTCTTTTTTTTTTTAAGCGAGGAAAGAGACGCTTCTCCACGGCGAGGGAAGCAGGCTGTACAGGCAGGGCCGTGGTGGTGGAGGTGCCCCGGGGCTTGCGTTGATACGGCTCGGCTAAGTGGATGGGATGGAGCCGGGAGCATCTGGCGCTGGTGAGTTAACGCCAGGAATGTTTTTATTTTGGGTGCATAATCAGGCTGATGTCAGCCTCGTATCTGCCTGCTTCTTGTTCGAATTCCCCCGTTCCACCTTAAAGTGGTGCAGCAGTTAACGTACATTGTAGCGCTTCAGAAAGTAACTGCTGGACCAATTAAGGTGGAACGGGAAAATTCGAACAAGAAGCTGGCGAATAGGAAGCCAACTTCAGCCTCGTTGCAGAATGTGGGTTTGTTTGAGCATGTTTGCTGGGTAGAGCATGTTTGCTGGGTAGACCATGTGCCTAAGAGGCTTGAGTGAGTGGTCAGCCAGGATGCATGATCCGGGGCTGGTTCTTCTAAACTGTGCTGTTATCTTCTAAGTGCGTTTAAAAGAAAGTTAAAACTGTGAATGGAAGAAGTGAATGTGTTGAAGGGGTCAGGAGGCAGCAGGGTCGTGGGAATCTTTAGTGAGGAGGCCTTGTCCACATGCAGATGGTCTGAGACCCCTCCCCACCCCCACACCTACCCCTACCCGCCCCAGTCTCCATGAATGGTTATTGATTATGGTAAAATATGGCTTTCCCCCCTCATTTGATTAACCTCCAATGCAGAGGTTGGTCTAGGACTGAAAGATTTTTCGGAAAATATCTAATTGCAATTTTTCTGACTAATATTGCGACTGTGCTTTAAGTTACAACTACTTTTTCAGACTCGTTTTTTGCCAAGATGACCAGAATATCAACTTTTTCTAGTTTGAGGCTTGACCCGTGAAAGTAGCATACCAGAAAGTTTGTAAGTTGTGGTTGTGATGTCACAACACATGGGGGGTTTGGTTGCCTCCCATTGGTCTAACTTATCTACAGGCAGTTCACAAGCTCTGTGTTATTAGGTTAAGTTTTCCCACTTTAAACTTATTAATTCTTCTTGCACTTTGAAAATTGCACTCTCTTAATCTTTCAGCCCTAGTTGGGTCTCTGTTCTTTGCAACCTAATACGCAAAAGCTTAAGACCAGTGAGGCGACTGATCTTATTGATAGAGAAGGCTCCAAATGAAAAATTATTTTTTCAAAGCATTACTTTATAGCATGTTATTACTATTTTTCCTGACTCAGCATGGAAAATTGACTGCTAACATAGTGTGAGTGGTTTCTATCTCCAGTGTTGGGATGCTGGTAACACTAGACTGATAAACAGTGTGTGTTGTCAAGTTTAGATGATGTTTGCCTTTGGTCAGTAATGACCTCTGAGTGTAAATTTCTTGAGGTAGTTGTATAGTTGATAACTCATTTCAGTGACAGTCTTTTTGCATCTGTTTCAGCATCAAAGTTTTGTTTGGCAAGTTGGGCAGTATGCCAAAAACATCACAGTGTATATTCACGATACACAATACTTTGGAATATATCATGGCTGTCAGATAAACCCTCATGGTTTTGGTAAGGAAGAAACTTTGTGTGCACAAATTAAATGCGTTGTTTTTTATACACAAGTAATTTTGGACCATTTCTAATGCTACATTCGTCACAAAATTTTGACACAATGTGAACAAGTTTTGGTCATCTACCAGTACCCTTAAACGAAATATGTGTATTGATGTGCTGCACCTGTGCAAGTGTGCTGCTCAGCTCAAATTGTCAGTATTATCCTTTTTATCAACATTAATGGGCTATTTGAATTAGATATTGTCCCACTGTTAGTATTGGTTTTGGTGTAAGTGCATCTTAGACTTACAATTGTTCCATATTATAATGAACATAGCGCTGTGATGTGAAATAGAAACCTGCTTGGTAGCTATTGCTGTTTGTAGATGTTTCATTATGTTTTGAATATTGACCCAGCAGGGAGTATTCTTAAAATCTTACTGCTGCTTACTTGCTTCTAGCCTGCATGATGTACTTATATTCCTACATATTTTGATGATCCACAGTCTTAACAGTATTGGTGAAAATATCAGTTGCAACATCACAGTAATTCACTCTGGATCACAAGACAAAACCCTAGATAGTTTTGCGGGGCCAGATGTGATCTAATAACGAGACAGACTGTGGAACATAAATTTTGGGCCCAATTGTAGTTGGGAATGCAGACGTGTTAAGCGAGTGTGAAATGTCCAAACCAATCCAACAGCTTGTTAAGGCAGAGCCCACAATAGGGGGCGATAGCATGCTTGTCAACAATGTCTAATGAACGACAAGCCTGTAGCGCCTTAGCACATAGATGTAAGACACGTAGGTTATCATGACTGAAAAGCCCTACGAACTCTAGTTAATCAGGTAAGCATTCCTTACAAGAGACAAACGATTCTATTAACTAGGAATAGTGTTTTGCAACCTAGCTTGTGTTATTGGCAGTGCTCCAGATGTTAAAAATGCGTGGACTAGAGGAATGTGGGTGGTGGGTTTTCAAGAGGGCATATCCTAATTAGCACTAGAAGCCTGCCCCATGTTGTGCCACTGGTGTGGTGTTATCCCTTGCAGCCAGGTAATTTGCTTAAACATCTAAAATGTGCATCCAAACCTAACCATGTGAATAACATTATAAGATTCAAAAAAACTTTTTGTTTTTAAGAAGAGAACTCATGAAAAATAAGAGTTAATTAACTGCAAAGTATTCTGGGTTGCCCCGCCCCCCGGTGCTGCAACCTTTATGTTATTAAAGACTAAGTTTGCTCTGTTTATTTGATTTTAGTTGAATGTTACTATTGAGAACTGATAATCCTGCACTCTCAGAAAAAAAGGTACGAAACTGTTTCTAGGGCAGCATCCCTCTTGTCACTCTCAGCACCTTTAGTTAGGGAGCATAATTGTACCATAATCCACTAAAATTATAATTTATCGTATTGACTCCAAACACCCCGTTCCATCTCCAGACTTTTTTATTGCTTTGTTTTAAAATATTAGGTTATTAAAAGGTACACATATGCACTTTTCCACCAGGAAAAACTAATTTACAGTACACAGTTGGACTTGAAACCACTGTTGTACCTTTGTGAAGGTACATTTACATTTGTATTCTGTCGAACAAAAAATGTACCTGCATAGAACCTTTATTATAACACTGCTTAGGTCCCTTAATCTCCCACTATGCATTTTCTTTCTTCAGTAACTTTGGTGGAATATATTATTATGATAGAAGTGTGTGATTTTCAGCAAATTGGATGTCCATCTTTGTAGGTGAACAAGCCAGTAAACATTTATAAGTGTTTTATTGTGTTAAAAACTATTTTGTACATGATGGTTTGATAACAAGAAAGTTGAGGTGTCTGTTTTATCTTCACATGGCCATCTATATGGAGAGGTGTGAATTGTTTTCACGGCAGGGGGTTCTCACCCCTCCCCTTTTCACCCATCATTGCTCACTAGCAGCTCAACATCATTTCACACACAGAGAATCAACAACGTCCTAGTTCATCTGAAAAGGGTTGATTTCAGTTCTACTGGTGGAATGTCCACTAGGGGGCCTGCAGAAAGAGGTTTATTAAAACTGGAGTATAAAATTAAAATCTAAAATACAAAAATGCAGTTATATCAGCTGATATGAACAGCTATGTATAGTGTAGTTCTTCTAGCTGTCTACTTAAAGAGGAATTCCACAGATTCTTCTCAATCTCTGTAAACAAAGTTGTTAATCTGATATAGTGCATTGTTGAGCAACTTAATTGGCTCAGATTTCGGATGCATCAGTTGTTTGGTTCCCATCACCACCACTGTAAACCATTCTGACTCTGTGAATTTCTCTAGAACAGAGCATTTCACAACAAACCACTCTGCATTACTTTGTTTACATCTTAACCGTTACATTATGCAGAAATCTTGACAAAAAAAGGAGTGGACTTCTCCTTTAAACAGTGAAGGCAGCCTGCTTTAACTGAATGTAAGGTGAGGGGTCGGGGGGTATTGCAGTTGGCCAGGTGGTGCCTGTGTGGACGCTGCACAATTCAGTGCATTACACAGTCCGTCCCCAACAGCAAGACATCTGGGCTGGGGATGCTCGGCCAATGGGGGCCGTGCCAGTGTGGCTCTGGAGCTGGACTCCACTTCTGCCCCGTTCCAGCTCCTTAACAGGACGGATGGACTATTGCCCCCCTCTTCTGGCTCCCTTTCCAACCATCTGCCTCCATTCTGGCCTTAGAGCATGTGTCTGTTAGTGTGTGAGTGGTAATGTGAATGGACCTGGTGGTCATTGAACGACACACTAGCATTCGAAAGTTTGGAATCACTTTTAATATTAGTAATTACTGTTATATTATTCAGTTGTAAGTGAATGTTTTTTAGGAATAAAACAAAGGTTTTTGACCCCTTAAATGGACTCAACAGTAAGTCCAAACTTTTATTAAACACTTCTACAGCTTAGAGGGGAAGTCCACTAGTTTTTCAAAATTTCTGCATTATACTGTCATTGATGTCAGATATATGTCAGAGTCATTTTGTGTGTTTTAATGTGAAATGGTTCATTGTTGAGAAACAGAACGGCTCAGGTTTCTTTACAGTGGTGGTGATAGGAACCAGGGGTCGCCGTGACTACGACATAAATATAGCCATTTTATTTATTATCCAAAACCACCAGTGAACCTACAGGTGTCTTTTTATGTGTAACATTGATGATGGTAAAGTAGTGGAAAATCTGAATGGAAAAAAAAATGTTTTTTTTTTTTTTTGTGGATTATTTTGCCTTAGAACACACTGCATGTATCCCTCCACCATGAATGCGTTTAAAAAATAAGTTTTAAGCCAAAACCTTCTCAAAACTATTGTAATACAATGTCTCAGACATCAGGCAGTGTATTCATAACCATTACATGTAATATCTTTCTGTGAGGGAGCTTTTAGAGGTGGTCGTCTGTTTCCTATTATCACCACTGTGAACAATTATGACTAGATAAGTTTCTCTAGAACAGAGCATTTCACACCAAACCACTCTGAATGACTTTGTTTGCATCTTAACCATTTAAATATGCATGAATTTTGAAAAGCTCTGTACAAGAGAATAGCAGTCTCTATGTTGCCTCTTCAGAGTCT